AGGAGATGTAGAGCGACCACAGGTCTCTTAATCAAGAGTCTAGGTTCAAGGTGTGACCTGCCAGACACTTCATTTCTGAGCTGAAGGGCTCTGCAGGTTGCAGTCCTCCTGCAGGGGGTGGCTGATGCAACCCCTGCTTATCCTTGTCCTCAAGTCTTCAGAGGTGTCATCTCCGCTCTACTTGGCAAAACCTGGCCAGAAACCTGTTTTCAGCCACCGTATCCTCTGTCTCATCCAGAAAGAGTTATTCAGCTTTCCGTGTTAGCAGTTACCCAGGCACACCAGCACCAGAGGTATCTCCATATCCTTTTATTAAAATTGCGATAAAAGCCGAGAAGTAGCTTGCTAATAATTGAAGGAAGTTTCTGGGACCTCTTGGTAACTTTATTACTGTTTGCCATGGGCCTGCTCACATCTAGGTTTGGGGAGAGCTGCGAGCAGCTTCAGAATCCTTGTCCACAGCTGAAGCAAACCCACTGCATGGTTCACACATATCTAAGGTTGGGTATGGCAAGTCCAGATGTCCCTTAAATATGAAACCTGACTACTCTTAAGGCTTGGCCTCTGTTCTCCCATTGAAATAGCAGGGAAGTGGGCCAGCACAACACTTCAAAGAACCACACAGCCTGAGGACGCGACAGAAACTAATTAGAACCAAATAGGTCCAAAATGGCCAACCCCTCGATTTCCACTAGACCTTGAGCCTCAGTATTCATTCATTATTGTAACATATCAGCAAACTAAGTGACACACCCGGCACCATGACAGTTCCCAGGCCAACCATAGAGGTCAAAAAGTGGACAGTGGCCCTATTCCTGCAGATCCCCACCCTGTCCTGGAAACAGCTGGAACGCTCCTCGCATTTGGTAGCTCATGAAATTACCACCCCTATTGACAACCCCCTACCCTGTGCCAGTCTGGGCTTCTGGGATGGCCCACATTCTGTCTGGGGTGTCTCTCTCTAAATGAATCCACTTCTTACCTATCACTTTGTCTCTCACTGAATTCTTTCTGTGATGAGATATCAAGAACCTGATCTTCAGTAGGTCCTGAGACCAGGTGTGGTGGTCTCAGTTAAAAGACCGTGAGTTCAAGTCCCAATTGGAGCTGCTCCGTTTCACTCTTGTTGCTGAATGACATCCACGTGATTTCCCAGAAGGGCTGGTTACCAAGATGAAGTGGGGGCTCCTGATAACACACGTGTTCCACTGCAGCCCCACTCAGCCAGCCCTAGTGCCTCTCACTCCACGTGTAACTCATTCTCTTCCAACCAACTCTCTCCAGCTGTAGAAAAGTGTAAATGGCCTTCTCCAGCTTCCCTGGTGGCTGACAGTGAAGAATCCACCTGCACTGCAGGAGACTTGGGTTTGATCCCTGGGTTGGGAAGATCCCCTTGAGAAGGAACCGGCAACTGACTCCAGTATTCTTGCCTGGAGAGTTCCATGGACAGAGGAGTCTGGCGGGCTATAGCCTGTGGGGTTGCAAAAAGTCAGATGTGACTGAGAGACTTCCACTTTCATGAGTCATTAGGATAAGGAAGTAGGTATAAAACACCTGAGATTTTTAGGAGGCGTGGAGCTCTGATAAGAGCTGTCCCTGTTTGTCTTTCCCTCCAGCCTATGAAGTACACTGCTCTTTCTCTCTCTGTGATGCTGTTCCTGGTGAGTTAACCCACTTTCCACTTCCTTCTCTTAACACTGCTCCTCACAGGGAGATCTGCAAGGTTCTCCTTGCTTCATCTCTGACTCCCAAGTGACATCTCTAGGATTTTATCCCAAGGAAATATTGAGAGATTCATATGAAGTGTTACGTTATAACAGTGCTAGTTACAACTTTTTTCAATAATAAAAATTGGAAACAACCTGCATAATCAGTAAAATAGAGGCTTTACAAAATGATGGCATATCTAAATCAAGATCTGGTTATGCATCAGATGACAGAAAACCCACAGTGACTACAACAACTGTGATAGGAGATGCGTTGGCTGGGGCTCGGGTGGAGGGCCAGGACGCCTTCCTTTTGGCGACTTTGCTCTGCCTCACTTTCAGACCTAAGTTACTTCATGCATCTCAATGGCAGCTTCAGTTCCAGTCCTCCTCCCTGACCCCAGCCAGCAAAACGCAGGACAGCACCAAGAAAAATAGGGCAAAGGCCGTTTACCAACACTCCCTTGAGGAGGGGCCGGCCGGCTGACTCACTTGTGTTCACACCGCTGCTGGCATGTTTATCTAAGGCGGGATTGTTAATCCATCAGAGAAGAAAGGAACTATTGCAAAAGTTACTACTTGGACCCAAGCCTTGAGTTGATTAGGGCTGAACTTTAGGCAAAAGTTTTCCCTGGTGGCTCAGATGGTAAAGAATCTGCCTGCAATGCAGGAGACCCAGGTTCTGTCCCTGGGTCAGGAAGATTCCCTGGAGATAGGAATGGCTATCCACTCCAGTATTCTTGCCTGGAGAATCCCATGGACAAAGGAGCCTGGCGGGCTATAGTTGATGGGGTCGAAAAGAGTCGGTACGACTGAGTGACTAACACTTTCACTCGTAGGCAAAAGACAACTCATGATGTTGATCTCACAGGCGTCACTTTTTCTACACTTAAGTAAATTTTAATAAAATATAAAATTTTATATTTTCCTGCTTTGAGGGGAAGTGGTCCCCTGGGGATGCCTTGCTCCCCCTGCAATTCAATTTTTTCTTTTTTTTTTACTTATTTGGCTGCACCATGTCTTAGTTGTAGCATGTGGGATCTTTAGTTATGGCATGTGGGATCTAGGTTCCCAATCAGGGGTCCAACCCAGACCCACTGTCTTGGGAGCAAGAAGTCTTAGCCACTGGACCACCAGGGAAGTCCCCTTTTTTCCTTTTCTTTTTGCCTCTAATCTGTTTTTGTAAATTTGCTATCTTTTAAAGCTCTTACTTGTATGTTTCAACCTCTAAAGGCAGGTATAGCTACCTTTGGCTCAGTCAACCAATCAAGCAATTTAATGCAGCACCTGGCATGAGAAGACCCTCCTTCAGGGGATCTTCCAGACCCAGGAATTGAACTTGAGTCTGTTGTGTTCTGTACTGGCAGGTGGGTTCTTTACCACTAGTGCTACCTGGGAAGCTCATCCAAGGCCCCTACTCTTTCCTAAAAACTACCATCCACTGTCAGCATTTCAACCTCACTCAAAAATTGCGTATGACACAAAGTCCTAGACATTAGGGCTCTCAGGTCACCAGATGTGGCCCAGGTCCTCCCAGCTCTAGGGATGATGCGGCACAGGCACCTGGTGAGCAGGGAACTGGAACTCGTGTGTTCTGTCATCCAGGCTGGCGTCACAATGCCCCCTGGTGACACTGGGCCACTCTGATCATAGGCAGAGCTCAAGCAGAGCTGCTGGGGTGGAGCTGCCCACCAGCTGCTGCCCTGTCTCTCTCCCCTGAGCCTGAACTCTTGCTTGCCCAGCAGTGACCTCCATGTTGCCCTCTGTACCTGGGCAGCTAGTGGCAATTGCATTCCCAGAAGGGCAGACTGCTGCTACCCTTGAAGGTTTAGGCTCAAGTCTGGGGCATAGTTGAGAGCAAACATCCATTGGGCACTTGCTTTGAGCACTGCCAGACACCTGGACCAACAGCAACCATGCTTCCTGCCTCCCTTGCCAATCAACTGACTTCTCAGTAGGTCTGACCAATAGTTGGCCGTGATGGGAGACTGGAAGGTCTCCCCGCTCCTCACAGCACCTCTGTCAGCAGCTGAATGTTTTCCAGGCCTCCAGCTGCTGCCCTCATATTTCCTGCCATCAACCACTCCTGTTCCTAGGCTCTGATGTCTTTCCCTAGAGGCAACAGTGGCTTCTGGCCTTGCCAACCTCTGATTGTCTCCTTGTTCCCTGGTTTCCAAAATGACGCCTTGGTGCATTTATGCGGGCCTCCCAGCCAAGGGGACGTGTGTAGTTGTTCTCACTCCAGGGTATTTCCCTAGAAAATTCCTGAATTTCTTCCTGCTCGAGCTCGGCAGGTCTTGTTCTCCATCCCATGTTCAGCTCGCTCCCCAGGAATGAGGCTTAACGAACTTCATCCTGGTCCCTGCCTCTCCCTTCCTCCCCGTCCAGTCCCTGCCGCTAGCTGAGCTGTCTGTCCTGTAGAGGCAGGAGCATTAGGGGGCCCCTGAGGGAACGATGGGCAGGATGGTGCTTTCAAAGTCAACCTGGCAGGAGGCTCCTTGGGGTGTGGAAGAGGCAGCCAAGGAAGCGCAGAAAGTCGCTGTGTTGTTCTGCCCTGAGATGCATGTAGTTTTCCTCCTAAAAAACTTTCAGCACCTCTCCTTTGACCATAGTCCTAAATGAGTCTGATAATGGCCTGTGTCCATGGAGAGGTGACATCTACCTCCTGGTGGGAATCGGGGGCCCTGTCCCCCTAGCATAGGGGGGTGGCGCCCAGGAGACCTGAGGCAGCAGAGATGGCTGTCTAGTTATAAGACTATGAATAAGGTCTTCACACTGGAGTCAGACCATGGCCTTGGCCTCAGATCGGCAGGTGGTGGTGATAGTGGACAGAAACAAGGCCTGGAGTGGCCTGCAGAGACCCCTACCCCTGGGGTCACCTCCCCGGGGCTGAAACCTCCCCTGTAAGCCAGAAAACCTGCATCAAACCCAACCCTAATGGCCCTGCAACACTCAGGCTACTCACCTGCATCGTCCAGGCTCCTTCACAGCTGTCTGAGGTTAAATGAGGTAACTGAGTACTTTTACCAACAAGCCATTCCCATGACTTTTACCGAGACACATCAGAGTTCTGCCCCATGTTTCAGCCCTTGAGGACCACACCTGTCCCCCAGCTTGTGGACAGATCTGCTTCCCTCCCAACCGCCCAGCCATGACATGAGCCAAGATCCCCTGAGTGTGCTGTGTTTGGTCTGTACGTCCTCAGCACCCCACATGCGCACACACCTACCGGAGCTGAGGGGAGAGCCTGCACCCTGTTAGAAATGGTTTCCAACTTGTGCTTCTTCCTTCCAGGGATTTCCCAGATGACCCAGACGTGCGCTGGGACCCAGAGCGGGCAGCTGATGTCCTCCTCCAGCACGTAGAGGCCAACGGCATCACCCTGGTAAGGTTGCACACCCCCCTCTCCAGCAGAGACCCGGCCCGTCTCTCTGCACCTTTCCTGTGTAACCACGGAGCTCAGGGGGAGGCAGAGATTCTCCCAGCACCTCCGTGCTGCCCCCCTGAAAACCCAGGTCCCCACAAGCCTATGCCACGACACGCTGACACAGAACAAGCGTTTTCATGTTAGGGTGTCACTGTAACTCTGGGGGTAAGTGTTGTCCTAATGCTCACCTTCATCTAGGAAACTGAGGTTCCCAGAGGCTCAGAAGCTGCCCGAGGTCAGCAAGCATGAAGCTAGGGACTTGAGCCTCCACTTTTCCCTCTAGAAAATACGAGGCTAAATCCACAGCCCCTGTGGGGAGAACATTCCTGGTTAGAGCAGCTGTGGGCCTTTGATTCACCTGCAGAGGCAGACGGCTCGGGAACACCCACCTCGACGCTCAGGCCTGGCCAGCCTGCATCCTGCCAGCAGTCCATCTTAAGGTGTCGGGAACATCTAAAATAATAATAATCCTTCACGAGTTAATACCTAAATCCTACCATTGAAAGCCCCAGCCATTGGCTTCTAAATTTTGATTAATCCTTGTTAGAAGGTGAACCCCACTATCAGGCTTTTATCAGTGATGCATCCTCCGAGTGAACTGAATTATTAGGCCATTGTTAACAGCAGATTTTTGTGGATTAGTCAGACTGCCTTTGTGCTCTAATGACATAAATACAACGGGAGCTTCATCCACACGGGCCAGAAGGGGCACCTAGCCAGCTGGCTGTGAACCACGTCGAGCTGGAGGTGCAGGGGGGCCGCTGGACCCACCAGGGATCTGCACCAGCTTTGCACTTTGTTCTGGCCGGACGAATGGTCACCAACAGCTGCAGGCCCACCCCTCCTGGATGTACCTTTCTTCAGGGTCTGAGGTGATAGCTGGCCTGGCTCTTCTTGCCCTGCTTTTCCCAGAGCACACTCAGACCCTCTCAGGGCTCGACAGCCTGGCGGTGGACAGGGCTGGTCCTTGGGGCCGGCTGGGCACAGGGCAGGGCCTGTGAGGTGTACCACAGTGACCCTTGGCACCCTGTCTTCCCTGGCAGTGGCCTGCCCACGGCTAGTCCCCAGACTCTTTCCTCTCTGGATTTGGTTCATAGGAACAACTGGTCTTCAGTCACTCCTGCTGTGGGATAAACTCCCATCTTTGTGAATTGGGCCATCTCTGACCATCCCTTCCATAGGTGCCACTCACTGGTGAACAGGGCTGGGCCTCACTTAGGGGCCGAGTTAGTGTTTAGACCACATCACAGCCGCAGCTCTGAACATCCAGGGAGGAGGTCAGGGCACAGACACAGAATCTCCCAAGTTTGTTTCCCTGAAAACTGACTTGTGGTCCAGGCCCAGCTAAGACCACCTTCTCGCAGAAGCCCTCTGTGACCTCTTCAGCCCTCTGTGGGACAGTATTTGCTGTGTGTCCTGCCCCGGTGACAGGTGTTGCTGTTTATCCTTCACGGACCATGTCCCGTGAGCCACTGTCTTAGAGAAGTGAAAGCAGCCTATTGTTTACTGGGGTCCGGGGAAGGCTTCATTTGAACATAGGTTTCTGCAGTTTAGGGGGGAAGGTGGACAGACACCATTGCTGCCAGGTCCTAATCTGCACGAGACCAGGGGGTGGAGACGGTTTAGCTCAGCCCTCCTCAAGGCAGGAAGACTGGGGGCTTGTTGGAAGATGTGGGATAAACAGGAAACAAGACCTTGGAGAAGTTTAAGTGATGGGGATGAACTGCAGTGGCCCCAAGCCCCCAGACCAGGGAGTGTGCCCCAGCTGGCCTGAAACAATCATGTCCCAGAGTTACCTCCACCAAGGGCAGCAGACACTCGGCCTGGGCTGCTGTCCAGGTCCTAAATGTTCCCACGGGGCTTCATCTGACCTTCACCTTGACCCAGAGAGAAAGGAGGGAGGCCTCACTCTTCCAACCTCACAGATGAGAAAACCAAGACATTGAAGATGAAATCGCTCCCAGTAGCGACGTTCTATGATATGCTGGAGGATCAGGGTAACTAGGTCAGAGGTGAGAGTGGACTTAGGCACTCCACGCTTAGCTGCACAGAAGGATGGGATCAGAATGGGGTACCTGAGTTCTAGGGTGAAGTGTTGTTTTTTTTTTAATAACACACTATAGTTTCCAGAGCAATTTTAGGTTCACAGTAGAACTGGGAAGAAAGTACACACGTACCCCTGGCCCCACAACCTGTTACAGTGAATCTACACTAACATGTCATCATCACCCCAGGTTCATGTTAGGGTTCACTCCTGGTGGGTTTTATCAAATGTATGACACATACCCACCATAATGGGATCTGCTTATAAGCCTTTTAAAAAAAAATTCCCACTGTGGAGAATTTCAAGCATGCAAAAGTAGAGCAAAGAGTATAATGAAACTCGTGTTCCCATAATTCAGTCTCACTAATTATTAACTCAAGGTCAACAGTGTTTTTCTTTAAATGCTGGCTCACCTGCCCCTGCTCCTCCATCATCCTGCTTGCTTGGCTGTCTGGTCCCCTCTTTCCATCCCCCCTCAACCAGCCATACCTGTGCCTTTCTCTGAGTCCTGTCTTCTTTCCTACATCTTTTTTTTTTTCACTTATCCCAGCTATTCTTTTACATTTATTATTATTATTATTCAAATTATTCTTCGGATTTTTTAAAGTCATCTGTGCAGAAATGAATCTGGAGCCTAGGCGAGGCTTATAGTTGGAGAAGCAGACGCTGGTCTGAGAATGTGGATGCAGAGGCAGCCTACGAGGAGCCACGGGCTTCTGTGAGCCCCTGGGCCCCTGTGGGCCCAGGACACTGTCCCCTAGCGCTTCCATGCCCTCGATGCAGCACCAGGAGAGGGACCGAATAATCAGACGGCATCGACGTGAACAAAGGTCACACAGCAGCCAGTAGGGAAACCAAACGTGCTGATAAGAGGCCACGCAGATAAGAAACACAGACGTGCCGAGCCCAGGTTTCTCTCATGGCCCAGTTCCACTCTTCTCTGCTGTCCAAGAGCAAGAGCATCGTCAAACCCACAGCCACAGGGTTGAACGGCGGTCACACCACCGGCCGGTGCCCAAGTCAGTTCTGATTCACTCGGAACACGAACAGGCTCAGGGTTCTGGGCCCTCCTGTCTGTCCTAGGTGGTGTGCACAGAGGTGTGAGAGACGGTTCAGTCTGGAGTGAAGCTCTGTGTCTCTGCAGGTGGTGACCTTTGATGAGGGGGGCGTGAGCGGGCACAGCAACCACGTGGCTCTGAATGCAGCTGTGAGGTACAATGGTGCGCCAGTTCCCTGGGCGGCTGGGATGGGTGGTCTCCTCATCACTCTCCACCCCATGGGTCATCTCACCTCGTCCTCCCAGGAGCAGGCGCCCTCGAGTCCTAGAGTTATGACCTTGTCTCCTAATAGCTGAGTCTCTCTGTCCCCGGATGCAGCCAAATGCAGGAACTGACTGGATTCCTCCCTCTGCTTTGGCCTCAGGAAACGTTACAGCCAAATTTCACCTCCTTGTAGCTCACGGGGAGGTCTGAGGGCTGGGATCTATGAATGGGCACCCTCCTGATTTCAGATCTTTCTTTGGAGGAGGATGTGCATGTCATTTGAAATCTCACCTGTTCTTTGCAGCCACTCCATTTTACTGACATGCATCTACATTTAGGGCTTCCCTGGCAGCTCAGTGGTAAAGAATTTGCCTGCCAATGCAGGAGAGGTGGATTCAATCCCTGTGTCAGGAAGATCCCTTGGAGGAGGAGATGGCAATCTGCTCTAGTATTCTTGCCCGGGAAATCTCATGGACAGAGGAACCTGGCAGGCTATAGCCCACTGGAGTTGCAATGAGTCAGACACGACTGAGTGACTAACAACCATGACTACCACCTGCATTTAACTGGTTAAAAAAAAAAAAACAACCCTCACAGATTTTGAGGGACTTCTCTGGGGTCATACAGACCTGGAGCTTATGTCCTGATCTCTTGAGCCTGCTCCTCTTGGGCCCACAAGGAGCTTGCTGGACCCAGCCTAGGGAAGGGAGAGGGCAGCTTGAGGTTAAGGACTGACTCTACACCCTTCTTCTGAACGTGCCCGTTCTCTTCAGGGCTTGAACGTGTGTCTCCAGGGCCTCTCTCTCCTGCCCTTAGATCTATCTGCCTCTGAGCTCTTTCCTTGGAGTTCATCCCCAGGGCTCCACCCAGAGTGCAGGATGAGCTGCCTCTGAGCTTGGCATTTTCTATTTCTCAGGCTCTGTAAGTCAGGCCAACCTATTGTCTTTAATCCTTGCTCCTGAGAATCCCTTCCCCATGAGTCCATGTGTCTGTTTGTTGGAGTGTGGGGGAAGGGGACTCTTTGTCCCATTGCCCACCTGTCAAATTTCAAAACAACAAGGAGTTCATTTTCATATTGCTGTTGGACCCAGTTCACCCCTCCTCTTAGGATAAATACTTTTTCTCACCACACTGCACAGCATGTGGGATCTTAGTTCCCAGGGATTAGACTAGGGATTGAACCTGCGCCCTCTGCAGTGGAAGCGCCAAGTCTTATCCACTGGACCCCCAGGGAAGTCCCCTCACGCCTCCTCTTAGGGCAGTGAGTACAGAATGGCCTTTACTGCCAAAAGGTGTGTGCAAGGGGAGGGGACTGTCAGGGAAGAAACACCAATTAACACTTTACATATTTTCCCACCACACCACACTCACATCACAATCTCATAAAAGAGAAAAACTCTGAAGAGTCCATTGTCGTTACTTTCATCTCTGATGGGCACAGCTTGGACCAGGGCACCTTGTAAGCCACTGGTCATCTCCAGATTGGCTGACCTTGGATGAGGGTCCCACCCTAGCCCCTTCAGCTGTAGCCAGAGGTATGGGGTTTGAGGAATCTCCGTGGTGACTTACGTTCAAGAACCTGCCTGGAAACCTATGTGGAGGGATCCCAGGGTGGGGCAGGCCTGGCTCTGACAGCCCCTCCAGTTAACTGCAGAGGGTTCTCACTTGGACTGTCTCCGTTTCCTCTGCCAGGACCCTGCACGCAGAAGGGAAGTTACCTAAAGGTAAGGCTGGGCCCTGTTGGAACAGGTTGCTGCTACTGTCCCTCTAGAGTGACAGTGCTAAATATACAGAGAGCTGCCCTTGGCCCAGTGGCGGGAGTGGGGCAGACAGGGAGGCGGGGCCACACTGTCCTGACTCAGCTCACTGTGCCTGTCACAGGGGGGTCCCCAGGCCTCATGGTCAAGTTGTGTCCACTGAGAAGTACCCTCTGGGTGTGAGGGAGGAGGGGGTGTCATTGGGGTTCTCTAGAGAAACAGACCAACAGGAGATGCAGACAGATGTGCTGCTGTATATATTATACACATACATACAGATGTCTAGACAGCATCACTGACTCAATGGACATGAGTCTGAGCAAACGCCCGGAGAAGGGAAGGACAGGCAAGCCTGACTTGCTGTGGTCCATGAGGTCACAAAGTGTCAGACACAACTTAGCGACAGAACAACAATAATATAATGAAGGAATTGGCTCACACGATTATGGAGCCCGAGAAATCCAGGATCCGCCACCTGCAAGCTGGACGCCCAGGAGAGCCAGGGCATCCCTCAATCAATCCGAGTCCAAAGGCCTGAGACCAGGGAGCCGATAGGGTTAGTCTTGGTCTCGGGCAGACGACCAGGGTCCAGCTCTGCAGTTGGACAGAAGGGGACACGTTCTCCCTCCCTCTAACTTCTGCTCTGCTCAGGCCCTCCCTTGATGGACTGGACAAGACCTACCCAAGTCTTCTGCTTTCCCCAGTCGTCCAGTTCAAATGTGAAACCCACAGACACACTCAGAAACAATGTTGACCAGGAACCTGGGACCCAGATGGGCTGACACAGGAAGTTAACCACGTCTGTGGGCCTTGCCCCTCGCCTGCCTGGCTTTCTCCCTGGCCAGCTCTATCCCACCTCTAGTGTCCTTTCAGAATGTCCATCCAAGCTCACATCTATCCCCCAGGTAACTGAACAGGCTGTGGGTGACTGCTGGGTGCTGGACAGGTCTGAAACACTTCCTAACTCACAGGAAGGCATCTGACCGCCCTCCCCTCCCTGAGCCAGTTTCTGTCTGGACATGCACCCCTCACAGGAGAGCCCTGGGGGGCGGAACAATGGGCCCCCAGGCAGCATGCCCTCTCTGGGTGGGCTTCTGGCTGGTGAAGCTGCAGGGGCTCAGGAACACAGCTCTGGTGTGTTTGCTCAACCCTGGAAGACAGCTCCAGTGGTGCTGGTGGGAAAGAACCCACCTGCCAATGCAGGAGACGGAGACCTGGGTTGGGAGGATCCCTTGGAGAAGGGAATGGCAACCCACTTCAGTATTCTTGCCTGGAGAACCCCATGGACAGAGGAGCCTGGCGTGTACTCACGAAGAGTCGGACACGACTGAGCAACTAAGCACATGGCACGTGGGAGACAGGCAGGTCCCACACTCACAAATGACCAACAGCCCATCATACAGATGAGAAACTTGAGGCTCACTAAGGTGAAGGGACCTCCCGAAGCCCGTGAGTTCTCCTGACGAGCAGGAGCAGGTCTCTAGCCTCCTAAGACAGAAAGTCTGCCTGTACCACTCCCGGCTTGGGTCTGACCCTGGCCTCCAGCAGCCAGCCTCTCCCTGCTGGGGGCAAGGGCAGACAAAGGGTGTCCTGCAGGCGTTCTGGGCCCTTTCACCTTCTGAAAGTTCAGGAAAACCAGCCTGGAGCTGCAAGTCTCCCTGTCCTCCCCCGCCCCCGCAGGGTGCTTGGTGCTCACGCTCCAGTCTGTGAACCTGCTGCGCAAATACCTCTATCTGCTGGACCTACCCTGCTCCCTGCTGCTTGCCCGCGACGCCCTCTTCGTGCTCACCCAACGCGAGGCAGCCCAGGCCCAGGTGAGAACCGCCCCTTGCCCCCACACCGCTCCCCCCGCCCCATCCCAGGTCCTCCAAAGCCCCTCACCCAAGGTCTTCCAAGTGGTTCTGTCCCCAGGGCGGGCCCACAGCCAGACACTGGGAGCCGCAGACCTTCAGGGACTTGCACCTTGTCTTCTGAGCCTAGAAACAGCACAAGCTGGAAAAATAGCAAGTAACAATATAGGCTCAGTGTGGAAAGTCTGGGAGTAGTTACATAAAAGCAAGTCGAAAATAAAAATCATTCATCAAAACTACCTGCAACCCCATCCCGTACAGGAAATCATTCAAACACAAGAGTATTGACATATGTATGTAAAATGGGGTGACACAGAGCCTGCTGTTTGAAACCTACTTTAACATCATGACCGTCTTCTCTGACATCCTTACGTGTTCAAATCTTAATGGCTGCCGGTGTTTCTTCGCATGGACATGCCATGTAACAGTTCACAAACCCCTGAAGGTTGGACATTTTGATTTATGGGTTTTTTACTGTTTTATGTGGACCAGGCTTCCAGCTTGAGTCTAAGGACTCAGACCTGTCAGGAGCCTTAGTAAAGACCAGTGGGCAGCCCACTGTCTGCCTGTTGAGGAGTCAGGCCAGGCGAGGCCCTCTTGGGAAAGTGGTGATCGGTGGGGCGGGGGGTCTGAGAAGCACTGGGCGAGGGACGAGGCTGCCCAGGAGTTCTAGCCCTTAACCCTTTGCATTCTTGCCATGGAAGTGGAAAGGGTCAAGGGCTAGAACTCATGTGGGACTCTTGAGAGTAATTTTTTTTTTTAATGTTTTAATGGGAGGATAATTCCTTTACAATGTTGTATTGTTTTCTTCTGACAACACCACAAATCAGCTATATGTCTACACATGTCCCCTCCCTCTTGAACCTCCCTCCCACCTCCCACCCCATCCCACCCCTCTAGGGCATCACAGGGCACCAGACTGAGCTCCCATTATCTATTTTACAGATGGTAATGTATATGTTCCAATGGTACTCTGAGAAAAATTTTTATTTAAAAATTGTGGCTGTATTTCCTGTTGAAACCACAGTATTTCATATTTTTGCTTGAATATAGTGATGGTTCTCATTATCAGCTTCAAGCTTGCTGTCATCACGGGGTATTTACATCTCTAAAGCCATGGATGTTCAAACAATGAATATAAAATGAGTTTTTTACATAAATGTTTGCAGTGATACTCGCTTAGATTATAAGCATTAGTTATGGTCCTTACAGAAAAACAGGAACTATATTTATAGGGTATATCTAGTTAAATCAGTTGTTATGATCTATTCTATTTAGAAACCAAGCTACATTAGTTCTGAATAATAGGATAACGTTCCCACACTGGATGGCAAAGAGACCCTGTACCTATGGGTACCATTTCCTTTCTTTTTCTTCTCAGAGTGGCTGTATTTAGCCAGCTTAACTGATTCAGAGGAGTCTGGGCAGAGGGGTAAGGGGGCCAAAGGATGAAGAATATAGGCGGGGCAAAGGAGTGAAGAATGTAGGCTTGAGTCAACCTGAGAGCTCTGGGTTCCAATTTCAGCTTTACTACCTACTTGCTATTTGAGATGTATGAGTTTCCTCATATGTTAAAAAAAAAAAAAAAGCAACAGTAACAGCCCTTCGCTCACAGGGTTGTTAACGGAGATTGTGCATCAGGACCGGCTGCTGTTGTCATGGGGATGTCAGGAGATGGGGGAACGGGGCAGGAAGCAGCCACTAGAGGCCAGTGCAGGGGATTTCAAAGGTCACAGGGGAAGCCAGGTCCCGCTGTGGCTCGGAGTGCGCAGGTGGGAGGAGGCAGATGGAAACAGCACATGGCCAGGTACCAGCTCCAGAACCACTCCTCTCGTCCCCCCAGAGAGCCATGTCCTGCCACCACAGCCAGCTGCTCTGGTTCCGCCGCCTCTATGTGCTGTTCTCCCGCTACATGAGGATCAACTCTCTGAACTTCCTCTGAACCGGAATGGGCTCTCGGATCCAAGGAACCAAGGGAAAGACAGCCAGGGAGCCTAGGGCCTGTCTGGAGCAGGCTTGTCTCCCTGCGTCAAGGACATCCCCGTGTCAGCCTGAGTTCCAGGGCCCTGTCCTCCAAACTGCCTGGCCTCTAATACAGCGGGGGCTGTGCAGACCCAACAGGCTGCCAGACCTGAGCATCTCCCTGTGGGCGGCGAAACCACAGCCTCCAAACACAAACCAGGCCAAGGACAACGACAGCTACCTCGCTCGCTTCTCAGGTTCTTGAGTGGGGCAGCTCACACAATGGCACAGTGTCTGTCAGCTCCCTAACACAGACCTGCAGTTGTTAAAAATAAATGCAAAGGTCTCTAGAATCCCATCCTATGTCATGTATTTTCATGTTTTTTCCAAGGCAGGCTCGCCCCCCCATACACACAGAACAGTCTATACTGAATTTGTTCAACCATAATTCCATGGATTTATCTTTGTGGCCTACACATCAGATTCAAATCTAGGGAAAACGCCTCCCCAAGGGGAACTCCCAGGTGGTCCAGTGGCTAAGACTCTGCGCTCCCAATGCAGGGGACATGAGAAGAGCAAGATGCTACCAAACAAACAAACAAACAAAAAAATGCAAGTTGCAAAACAAAAAACATACAGAATCTAGTGGTAAAGAATTCGCCTGCCAATGCCAGAGACATAAGAGATGTATTTGATCCCTGGGTGGGAAAGATCCCCTGGAAAAGGGAATGGCAACCCACTCCAGTATTCTTGCCTGGAAAATCCCATGGACAGAGGAGCCTGGTGGGCTACAGTCCACAGGGTCTCAAAGACACAACTGAAGCGACTTAACATTTGTTTTTAAGAGACTCAAAACTGTGTGTTTTATATGCCACTGCAAGAGGGATGCAGATCAGAGGGGATGTTCACTGCACCAGAATATACTCCTGTTTCAGCTGTAGAATGCTTTACCAGCTCCTTCCAACTGGCCTTCAGCTGACATGGTAACCACACAGAACCCCAGTCCATCTGGATGTCCCCTCCTGCTTTTTTCTGGTCTACTCTCCCTCCCAGATAATTTCTTAAGTCCCTTTCCTAAAGCAAAGAGCAATACTTACTAAGTGTTTGACATTATGCATGTACGTATACACCTAGTAGTTGGTAATGGAAGGAATGCTTTAAGAAAGCATCTTGTTGTAATAAAGAAAGCACTAATTATGATACAAAGCTACATGAAACACAGAGGGTGGGGACGGGGTACGGGCCAGAAGACTGTTTAGAGCCCTCAGGGCTTCCCAGCACATACAGGACAGAACCAGGACACCACAGGCGGCTTCTATTTCCTTCTGACCCTCTACTTCTTCCCACCTCAAGCCTGGCTTTACCTTGTGCCCGCACCTCTGTCCACAGCTGCTTCTCCCTTCTCTTCCCAAATCCTGCTTCCTTTAAACACATAGGCTCAAAGTTACTGTTGATGGGTAGAGGGGGCACAGTTTTAGCAAAATGAAGAGCTGTGGAAATTGGTGGCACAAAACCATAAACATACCCAGCACCACTGAGCTGTGCACTAGAAAAGAATTTTGTGTATTTTACCACAATCGGGGGAAAAAAATAATCAGAAGCTGATTGATTTTTAAAAAAAACCAAAAACAAAAACAAGCTCCCATCACACTCCCCCCGAGGTCTTCCACAACTAGCTTCTCCTCCAGACTGCTGGGTTCATGTTCTTGTCACAGCTCGGGTGGCTTGTGACCACTCACCAGCTCTCGTTTGTCGTTTGACACCATCCCCCCCCACCCCACCCCCTGGGCAGGCCATGGCTGCAAGAACCATTAACAGTGCTCAGTAATTACCTGCCGCTGAACCACTGGCCTCAGAAGCAAACCCAAAGGACAGAGAAGACGATAAACCAGAGGAACCACTTTAATGTTAAAAATATTTATTTCTCTAGAAGATCACACAAAAGTCAGGAAGGGGGACAGAAGGGCATCAACTAGCCTATGTCAAAATCTGAGCTAGGGGAGGACAAGAGCTGCCTGAAGACACCGGTGGCCGGAGCAGACTGCAGAGGCTGTAGGCCCTTCCTGGGCAGGAGGTGCGGGAGCTCACTCCTTGGACATGTTCTTGATGGTCTTATGCTCCTTCATGGCCTTCTCCCAGTCGCTGCCATTGAACTCCTCCACCACCACGCTGCGCACGGTGCCCTCGTCCAGGCAGTGGGGGGCAATCCCTGCAGGGAGGCGGGCGTGAGAGCCGGGCAGGCTCTCAGAAAAACCCACCCCACAGCTCACCACAGCAGCTCCTGGCTCACTCTCTTTCTCTCAAACGGGGCTCAGGGGTTGCCAGGGCTGACTGTCATTCAACACTGAGCTGACAGAACAAAAGAGAAAGGCTCGAGCCCAGAGCCACCTCTGCTGGGTAGCCTAAGGAATTCACAGGCCTCGTCCAGGGCGCCGAGGGGTAACTCTCAGCTTTAAACATGTCCCCATCCGTACAGGAAGGCAGGCGGGAAAGACGCTCCGTGTGGCAGAAAAGGAGCAGACAGGAGCTCTACGGGAAGAAGGGTAGGCGGGCAGCGTGACATCAGGCGGCCCCCCAAGGCTCGAGGCAGCTGGCCCACGGCAGTCCAGGAGGCTGCGTCTCTGCAGGGCCAAATTTCCAGGAGCAGCCTCCATGGCTGCTTCCTACCCGATTTGCACGAGGGCTGGTGTCATTCTTAACAACTGTCTAAGGGTGGTTTTGCCCCCAGATCCAAGAAGAGGGACCTGGGGTTTCCCTGTTTGTGTTTGAACAAGCCCAGTTTTACTGGCATCATCACTGCTGTTCATCCTTAACTCCTTCACACGCCCCCACCTCCACCCCAGGCCCATATCCTCCCCCTGCAGTGGGTCCCCCGGCAGCATCCCGCTCCCACAGCAGCAGGAAATTCAAGTCAGGACCGTAGGGCCTCTGGAGGTCCAGGGCCAGGCTATGTCGTGTCTGCAAAGAGTTCAGCTGACGAGCCCCACTCCTCTCACACACGCAAGGGAGAGGCCTGGCCAGGCAGGAGGCTGGCTGAAGACTCCAGCACCCGCTCCCAGAGCGCATCTCACTCCAGGCGGCCACAGGGTGTTGGTGCTCCGAGCCTGACCCCACTCCACTCACCGAAGACTCCGGGGTTGGAGCCTGCCCCCCTGTCCACTCACCGAAGCCTCCAGGGTTGGAGCGGGGAGAATAAAAGCTCTGGACGCCGCAGCGCTTACAGAAGGTGTGCTGCGCCTTGTGGGTATTGAAGGTGTACGTGGTGATGCTGTCGGCTCCCTGAGAGACACAGACAAGGAGTTTCAGTTGTCTTTTACAGAAATAAACCCTCTAAAAATCTCAGTGGGGAACGCCCTCTGGTCTGGCTCCCAGGGTCACGAGGACACATCCAGTCTGAGGTCGGGGCCCATCCTTACCACCTGGAGACCCGTCAGCCTGCAGCGTGACAACTCGTGGGTCCTCTTGGGTCAGCTGCACACAAAACCTTTGACCTTGAGCTTCCCCCTGTGGCCCAGGCCTAAATGAGGCGGCATCAAGTGAGAGACTGGGTCCCCATGTCCCCAGACAGCACTGCTCAAGGCCTTGAGAACATGCTCACTGGACTCAAATTCATCTACAAAGGACCAGGAAAGGACACGTGCTGGACATCACGGGCTAACATCCCTAATGGAGACACGGACAGGAGACCCAGCAGAGGACGTGCACAGATAGTTCAGAGAAACCGGAGAACAAGTCTCTCTTTAACCTTCAACACGATACCCACGCTCACAAACTGCAGTGAGGTATGCTCTTCATTGTCCCAGGCAAAAATCACCAACTGAGCTCACTTGGAACTGCGTGTGTAGAGAAACATGCACTCCTGCATGTGAGTCACAGGAGTACAAATCCACAACACTGGATAACACCTGCCAACATTGCAAAAATGCACATTTTTCTCTAACCCAGCAATGCCACTTCTAAGAATGTATCCTGCCATTAAAACTCTGTATTTTATCCAACCACTTGGATATAGGTGTTAACACACCATCTGTAAAGGCGAAACCTTATAAAAAATGGAAACTGTCCCACAGAAGATTAGTTAAAGGAATCAACTACAGACATAAGAATGGAATCTCTTCGAGTTTTGAAAAGAATGAGGCAATTCCACTTAGAAATACTACAAGCAGACAATCTCCAAGGTTACAGAGGGAACTGAAAAGGCGAGGTTTGAAACAATTTGTGCAGTACACTACCACTCCTATTTTTAAAAAGCACACACCCTGGCATGCACTTTCAAAGAAAGAACTGAGAAAGCAGTAGTTTATCTCTGGAGATACTGCGTGACTGAAGGGTCAGAGGTTTCCACATGTCTTCCCCGACCGTCACCGTGGAGAGGGTCCCTCAGAGCCACATACAGAAGTGGCTCTCTGAGGGGTCTCTTCTCAAACCCCCCCCGCCCCCCCGCCGACCTCTCCTCCACACACAGGCAGCAGAGAACAGTCACGTGGTCCCCAACCACGCAGGATTATCTGATCAAACACTCCCCCTGAAGAAACTCACAGCCTCACGGCCTCCTGGGTCTCATCAGCATGAGGGCCCGGTGCTGATACACAGACCCCACTCCCCCCTGTTCATGCATCCACCCACCAGCCTGACCCACCCCCAAAATTTCTGCTGAACACATGGCCCATCTTAGTTGTAATGCCCTGTACGTACGTTCAACCTCCCTGCTCACTTCTGTCTCCCTGCCCTGTCAGAAATCACCACCATGACGACAGACCCATGGTCAATTCTCCCGACCCCAGGGGTCACACCCTCTGAGCCTGACCAGTCCTTCCATTCTGAGGATGCTCATTTCCAGGCTGCCCACTGATCTGCCTCCACCCTCTGGGCACGAAGGCCAACCTGCAGCTCCTTGGACATGCAGAGTGTGCGCCCCCAACCCGCCTCATCTCTAGGGGCCTGCCCGAGCCCACTGAGACTCGCCACCAGCCAGCTTCTGCCACGCTGCCCTGCTTAACTCTCCACACAGCATTTCCAGGCCTCTTATTTCTCTGTCTCCCCTTTGTAAAACACAGGTTCTGAGGGGACAAGGGCCTTGTCTGCCACATAAACTGCTGGGTTTCAGTGTGACAGAGCCTGGCACACAGGAGGTGCCCATAAACACTGCTGAATCAAAGAATGAGTTCTGTACTTAATTTTAAAGAACAAACAGAAAATTGTTCCTTCAACAGGCTGGGTCAAAGAAGAGAACAGTGCAGTAAACACCAGGGCAACGACTGACGAGCGGGCCCATGGGGGGTACAAAGTGGGTAACTGTCAACTCTGAAACCGAGGGCCCCTGGCTGCCCAAGTGTCTTCGGGGACCATCTGTCTCAGGGGGTTGGGCCACAGTCTCTAGCTGGCACCCAGGGGAGGGGGTCTTGTGGGAAAGACAAGGGCAGGCCTGCTGCCCACTGGCACCCTTCTCCCCACACAAGACACCCATGGGAAAGATCCAGGGCATACAAAGAAAAGCAGACAAACTGACCCAAGGTGCCTGGGATTAAATCTCAGCTTCTCCTTCCAGACGCTCACTGAGTGGCCACTCAGTTCCAAGGCCCCGGGGCCAGGAGCACAGACATGACTAGAAGTGCTTCCAGGAGCCCCTCCTGACCCAGAGAAGGAGACCCTCACACAGATCACAACCCCAAAGCAAAGACACTGATCAGACCACAGCAGGCAATGGAACCCAAGGATCAATCACAGTCCCATCCCACCCCATGAGCACAGAGTGCCAAAGCTTCTGTACTCTTTGACCAGAGATTTTACTTCCAAGAGAACTAATCCAAAGAAACAATTTCTAAATTATTAAAGACTTACACACTGGGAGGTTCAAGACAGCACTGCACTCAACCTAGACGTTTAAGTGTAGAAAATCACTTGTGGCACATTCATATAACAAAATCCACTACAAATACAGCCATAATTGTATAAGTAGGAAGTGGCTGTGGCTGGGAGGGGGTGGAGGAGAGGCCAGGGGCCGAGGGATGGTGGTAGGAAGGCCTTTCACTCTGTACCTTGCAAAGCCGGGATCAAGCACAAAAAATTCCCCCAAAGAATAAAATAAAAAATCTTTTCAATTATTTATTTTTCATTAGGAAATGGTAAGAGTCAGTTATGAAACAGAAAAAGAGGTAAGATTCTGTGCCGAGAAAAACACATACATTTAGATGTATTCATCCATGTCCAAAATAACGCACAACGACACACACCAAAACACAATAATGGTTACCTTTGATTGATAGGATCTGGGTGATCTTAAATTTATCTTTTGATCCTCCATGTTTGTACATGATGGATCAAATATGTATCCAAAATATAAAGGAGAAAAACAACATAACCTTTTAAAGAGAAGCATGAAACCTGGCTGACAGGGAAAGTAAAGCCCCTGAGAGGCCCAGGAGGCCCCCGGCCCCCTGTAAGCCAGGGCAGGGCCCCCCAGCCCTGCTCAAAATACTCACCTTCAGAAGCTTGAAGCGAGAGGCCGGGACAATGAAATGTTTGTTCTGCTTCTTCTTGCAGATGCTGCAGCTACGGAAAGACACAAGCAGACCCCAGATGGTGAACAACCCTATGCGCCTCCTGGGTTTCCCCGTCCCAGAAGCCGGCTGACCATGGAGGTGAAGGCCCTCTCACTGCCCTCCAAGGAAGGGTGGCTCGGGCAGGCGGGCTGGGTGCCTGGGGGCCTCTGCTCCGCAGGTCCACAGCCAGCAGTGCAGGCCTAAGAAAACCAGGACGTGCAGAACCACGTTCCTGCTGCCCACCCTGCCCCCGCTTCAGTTTACGAGTGAAGGGAAGGGTGGGTTCTGGAGACTCACAGAAAACAAGCATCAGGCAGATCTCCGCTCTCCACCTCGGGATCCACATCCCCAGCAGAAACAGACAAGGAGGCCTAGGTGCCCTGACCTCCTCCGCGCATCAGAGGAAGCCCAGCTCCACGGCCCACAGGTCCTCAGAAGTAAACCTAAGTCCCTCGTTTTAGTCCGCCTTTTATGAAACTCTAATTCCACACGGGTTCCTCTAACAGCTTATTCCATGGGGCGACTTCTTCCATCTGTTAGTACTGGGTCAGGTCCCCGCAGGAGGAATTCCACGGAATTTATTTATTCTTCTCATATAACCCAGGCACCACAGCACCAAGGGGCAGAAAGAACTGGCTATTGTTGAACAGTCAGTTACACACCAACCACAGGTCAGAAGTTGAGCCTGGAGGGCCTGACCTATCACAAGGCGGGCAGGTGCCGACAGCAGGCCCTCTGCTGACCCTGGTAGTGTCACCAGCCTCACCTAGACAAATGGGCCAGGTGGCCTGGGGCATGCCAAGGTTCCAGGTGTGCACGCATTTGCCTCACCCCACCCAATTCTGTGGAGTTCTGCAGACTCTGCCCAAGGCCTTTCATCCAGCATCCAGCCCAACCATCTTCAGGGTACCACTCTCTCCCACACACGGGTGGCACTCTTCTCTGAGAAACTGCCCGGCACAAGTCGAGGGACTCCTCCATGTCCCTGAGGCTGTGCCGCAGGAATGAGCTGTGTCACACACACAGCAGGCTGTTATTCTTAGCCTCCCGCCATCTTTAAAATTTTTAATGAAAACATCTAACACACATAAAAGGAAAAAACAGAACATGAACCTTTACGTACCCATCACCTGACCCCAACTCCCTGCTCACGGCCATGGTCGTTTCACCTGGACCCCAACTCCCCAGACCATGCTGAAGCACCCTCACGCGCTCTGTCCTTAGAAACAATATAGGAAAAGAAGACACTCACTTGCAGTCAAAGATGTGCAGGTCAGCCGAGGCCCAAACTTCAAAGCGCACGGCCCCACAGTGGCAGCCTCCTGTGTGTTTCACCAGGCCCTGGTATTCGCTGGAGGGAACAGAAATCAGAGAGATTAGAATTCCTAAGCAGTCAGGCTGCAGTGGAAAGAGAGCAACAAGATGGAACTGGAGTCTTCACGGGACAACAGGGACACCTTTCTGCTTTTGAGGAGGCGTCCTCAGTTTTATAAAAGGATTCAGTGCCTTCTTTGTCTACGAGCTCTTTTTTTCCACTTCTTTTTTGTTAAGTTGCAGAATAAATTATTCCCAATGTATGGGAAAGAGAGAACTGGGGTGAAGATCCTAAACCAGCCACCTGAACATTTTTATTTATATGGTCAGTACTAATTAAGATTTTTTTTATAAGCAGGACAATAAAAAAACAAGGGACAGTAGACAGGATCCCGCCCTTAGGGACCTTGAGCAGCCATTACCCAAATTACTGAATATTTACATGACTGTGAAAAAGGGTGTACAGGCTGCTAAGAAAAAGAAAGACAAGGGGACCAGACCGAGTTCAGTGGTTCAGAAGAGTCTTCAAGAAAGTTAACAAAAGGCTCCTATAACTCTGCTGTATTTCCCTCCTGTATTTTGCATACATGTGACTTTTTACAGAGCTATCTGTACACATTATGTTCAACTTTAATCCCTTTAAAACCTGTAAGTCAGGTTCTTCATTGGACATTATTAAGATTTGATATATATCATCCAAGTACTTTCCAGAAGGGCTGAACACTGTTTATCAGTAATGAATGAGAAAACATTTCACTGAATCTTCTCAAGCAATAATTACAGGGAAAGTAGCTTGCTGCAGTTTTATTTTGCATTTATTTGGTTACCAAGACTGCATGCTTTTTCATGTTTCTATACAAGCTGACTCCATTAATTTGATATATTTTTTCCCTGCATATACAAATAATGCTTATGGTAAAAAACAAACCTTACAACATTTGACAGTGCTAAAGGTGAAAGTCTCCTAACACCCAGAGGGACCCACAGTTAACTGTTTGCTCTATGTTCCTCCAGATTCATACAATGATGTTTAACAGCAACAGTGAAGAGTTATATATTCTTTTTAATTTAGTTTTTCTTTCTTGAATGAATGTGACTTGCGCCAATCTGATAGGTTAAAAAAAAAAAAGGATTCTTTCACCTCAACACTTTGAAATCTCTTTTTTTTGGCCATTTATCAGTTTGTTTTAAAGTCTAAATTTACTCCAAATCTGCGTTTTACAACACTGGGCAGTAGCTGGCACATTTTAAGGGCTCAAAATTGTGGGATGATGTAGATTTTAAAATGTTCAGCCTACAGTCCAAGATGATAAACCAAACAGTGAAGCACAGGGAAAACCCAATATTCCATCTCTGAGAAGACTCGCCTAACGAAGAGAATTTCTTACGGACAAAAGACAAAAAAACACTTTTAAGAAAAAGAGATCCTCAAGTTGTTATGCAATTGTTGGGTTGTTCTGTTTTTTGGGGGAAGGGGTTCTACTAAAACAAGACTGACAATGAAATATTAAGGGCGCTACAGGGCAGGGGCCTCATCTAGACGACGAGGCGCACCCCCGGAGCTAACAGCTCACTGCGAACCCCACGGACCGTCCAAAGTCCTCTGCGGCCGCTGGGAAGCCGGGGGTCTTCGGCCCGCAGTCGCAAAGATGGGGGAAGCAGAGCCCCGGGCCCTGGAGCGCCCGCAGAGATTCCGAAGCCAGAGGCCCGCTGTCTTCCCGCCGCCTAGCTCCGCGCAGTGCGCGCGCTGTAACCGGGCCGCCGGCCTCCCCGGAGGCTCCGAACTATCCCAGCGCCTCTCGTCCCGGCCCTGCCCTCACAGCCGCTCTCCAAACATAACATGCACAAACGCGAAAGAGGCCCCGGGACCGGGGAGCCGCGCCGACCCTCATCCCAGGAAGGCTGCCGCCTGGGCGCGCAGCGCTGGCTGGGCGGAGGCCTTTGTCCGGCCGGTGCGCGGCTCGAGCACCGCGGGGACGTTAGGGGCGCCGGCCCGGCCGCGCCGCACTCACTAAGTGTCCAGCAGCAGCTTGGCGGCGCCCTCGAAGCTGAGCCTCTGCCGCTTTTGGAAGGTCTCCCAGCGCTCCCGCTGCTCGCCCAGGTCCAGCTCGGAAGCCGCGAGCGCCGCGGGCGGAGGCGGGGGCAACGGCGGCACCGGCGGCGGCTCCCCGGGGCCCGCCTCCTGCGCCGGCGGCGACCGTCGCTTGGCCGCCGGCTGCCTCGCCGCCGCCCGGCTCCCGCCCCCGGCCTGGACCGCGGGCCGCCGTGCGCGGTCGGCACTAGGGGCCGAGGCGGGGGCCCTGGAGGTCCCCGGCCGCTTCTGCCCGCGTGGCTTTGTCGCCCCGCCGCTTTTCGCCCGCCGCATGGCTCCCGCAGCCTGGCGCGCAGGCCTCTCCGCCGCGCGTCCCCGCTTACCCGCGCGCCCGCTGCGCCCCGCGCGCTACCGCCGTCCGCGCGCACCCGCCGCCCCTCTGGCCTACCGGGCGCAGCGCCCGCCCCGCCCCGGCCGATGTCCGGCCTCGGCCCCCTCCCCGCCCGCACCTGGCCGCCGCGAGCGCACCCAACCCTGCCCGCCGCGGGGCCCGCACCTGCGCCGCTCCAGCCGGTAAGCCCGGCGGGACCACGCCTCGGGCCTCGGTTCCCGACACTCGGGGCCCATTGGCACCTGCCGCGGCGCCTCCGGGCCCCCTGAAACCCCTGAGGGCTTCCTCCTGCCTTCCTGAGGCCTGGGTCACCCTGAATTCCCAGTCGTTTGCGAGCAGGTACCGCAAGGCAACTTCATCTCCGATGAGGACAGCACCTGCCTGGCAGGAGCCATCGCGCGCCCGAATGAGCTAGGTAATGTGGATAAATGACCTGCCTCTCCAGGACAAGCAGCAGCTGAAATCAGAGTTCTTACACTTGGGCTTTCCTGACAGGTTATAAAACAGAGTCTTCAGGAGCTCCATGGTCAACAGATTTTTTAAATTTAATAAATGAATGAACTCCACACCAAATTCCATTATTATGGTTCTATTGATCACAGCACCAATTTAAAGACAAACTCAGAAGAACCACTGCTGGAACTCAAGTATTTTCCAAACCTATTTTGTTACCCTATTTTATTCAGATCTTAAAAGAAATAACATTTTCATTTACTAATTTTTCTACTTTTGTGTGCCCTACTTCCTTAATTTTCACCTTCGTTGTTTTTATCTTATTGTTAGTTTATTGAATTAAATAGAGGTTTTTTATTTTTAGTATTTTTTGTTGTTGTTCAGTCCCTAGGTTGTGTTTGACTCTGCAATCCCATGGACTGTAGCACGCCAGACTCTTCTGTCCTTCACTATCTCCCAGAGTTTGCTCAAATTCATGTCCATTGAGTCAGTGATGCCATCCAACCATCTTATCCTTCGCCACCCTCTTCCCTTTTTGCCTTTAATCTTTCCCAGCATCAACGTCTTTTCCATTGAGTGGGCTCTCTGAAGCAGGTGGCCAAAGTATTGGAGCTTCAGCATCAGTTGTTCCAATGAATATTCAGGGTTGATTTCCTTTAGAAGTGACTGGTTTGATCTCTCTGCAGTTCAAGGGATTCTCAAGACTCCTCCAGCACCACAATTCGAAAGCATCAGTCTTCTCTGTACCTGACTACAGGAAAAACCATGGCTTTGATTATATGGACCTTTGCAGGCAAGGTTAATGTCTCTGCTTTTCAATACACTGTCTAGGTTTGTCATAGCTTTCCTTCCAAGGAGCAAGTGTGTCTTTTAATTTGAAGGCTGCAGTCACTGTCCAAAAGGAATATTAATGAGTATAAACTTCCCTCTGAGTACAGCTTTAGCTGTATGTATTATAGGTTCATTGGAGGTGTGTAGTTTATACACAGCAAAATGCACATATCTTTTGTCTTCTACTTTTTTATTGAATACTTTTAAAAATTAAGATGAAAGTCACATAACAGACATTTTAACGTGTACAGTTCACTGACACTGCATTCATGGTTCTGTATAGCCACCACCTCGATCTAGTTCCAAACTCTTCTACTGTTTTTTTATAACATTTATACCTTGCTGGTAAATAGAAAATTCACCGAGCTAAACACTGTGTCGATTTCCCTCAGCAGATGGCATTTTACTAAATGATTTTTTTCTTTTTTAGCAAGGGTAGCTAAGACACTCCATCTGTATAACTCTTTCCTAGGCTGCCACCTTTGGGCCAGTTTATGACTCCTTCACTCAGGTAAATTTCAAATAAATCTGATTTAACTTTTTAACAAGTTTGCTTTAAAATTTTTATACAGTAGATATTGGAAAAAAGGAAGATGAAATAATTGACACTTTGCTAAAGTGCAATTTTTGTGACTTTTTTTGGAGGGGTTCAACTTTTTTTTAAGGTATAGTTGATTTACAATGTTAGTTTCTGGTGTACAGCAAAGTGATTCATTTATACATATATATATTCTTTTTTGTATTCTTTTCTGTTACATTTATTATAAAAGATATTGATATTCCCTGTTTGATAGGACCTTGTTGTTTATCCATTCTATATATAATAATTTATATCTGTTAACACCAAACTCCCAATCCAACACTCCCCACTCACCTCTCCCTTGGCAACTACAAATCTGTTCTCTATGTCTGTAAGTCTGTTTCTGTTTAGTAAACAAGTTCACTTGTGTCATATTTTAGATTCCACATATAAGTAGTATCATATGGTATTTCTTTCTCCTTCTGACTCAGTTCACTTAGTATGATAATCTCTAGGTCCATCCATGTTGCTGCAAATGGCATTATTTCATTCCTTTTTATGGCCGAGTAATATTCCATTGTATATATGTACTCCATCTTCTTTATCCATTCATCTGTCATGGATAATAAGGTTGCTTCCATATCTTGGCTATTGTAAATAGTGCTTCTCTGAATATAGAGATGACTGTATCTTTCTGAATTATAGCTTTGTCCAGATAAATGCCCAGAGTGGGATTGCTGGATCATATGGCAATTCTACTTTTCATTTTTTTTAAGTACTATTCTCCACAGTGGGTGTACCAATTTACATTACCATTTAAATGTGTGGGAGGGTTCCATTTTCTCCACCCTCCCCAGCATTTTTTGTAGACTTTTTAACGAGAGCCATTCTGACTGGTGTTTCTCTAATAATTAGCAATACTGAGCAACTTTTCATGTGCCTGTGTGCCATCTATATGTCTTCTTTTTTTTTCATGTCTTCTATTTAGATTTCCTGCCTATATTTCGATTGGGTATTTTGGTTCTTTGTTGTTGAATTGTATGAGCTGTCTGTTTATTTTGGAAGTTAAACCCTTGCTGGTTGCACTGTTTGCAAGGATCTTCTCCTTTACCGCAGATTGTCTTTTTCACCTTGTTTATGGTTTCCTTTGCTGGCAAAATGCATGTATCTTAAATATACAGCTTAGGTAACCACCAGCAACTCAAATATAGAACACTTCCAACAGTTTAGAGAGTTTCTCTCAGGTAAAAGAACAGAGGGGACCAGTATTTTGACTTCTATCACCAGAGATTAGTTTTACCTACTCTTGAACCTTTAAAAACAGCATGTCTGACATCTTTCACTCACTATAATGTTTTTAAAAATCATCCATGTTGTTTTGTGTATCATGATTTTATTTGCTGTTGTGTAGTATTTGACATGAATACATCACAGTTTATTCTACTGTTGGTGGATATTTCGGTTGTTTCCAGTTTGGGGGCTATTATGAATAAAGCTGTTATTTACATTTGTGTATAAGTCTGTTTGTGAACACATTTCGGTATATACTTAGGAGTGAAATTGCTGGGTCATGGATTAGCAGTATGCTCTTCCAAGAACTACCAAAGAGCTTTCCATGGCCATACCATTTTATACTCCACCCGTGTATGAGAGTCACAGGTGTGCTATACCCTCACAACATTTGGTATTGTCAGTCTTTTCAAATTTAGCCTTTTTGGTGTTTTGTCTTGTTTTGTTTTTTGCATGTCTTTGACAAGCAGTGCTGTTGAAAAACCTTTTCATGCGCTTATTGACCACCTGGGCATTTTCTCTCTGAAGTGTCTGTTGACAGGCACTAAATTGGCTTGTTTGATACATAAGACTTCTTTACGTCTGGATATGAGTTCTAGGCCAGACATATATATTTAAAATATATGCAACTAGAGATTATCATACTATGTGAAGTAAGTCAGAAAGAGAAAGACAAATACCATATGACATCACTTATATGTAAAATCTAAAATATATCTACAAAACGGAAACAGACTCACAGACATAAAGAACAGACTCGTAGTTGCCAAGGAGAAGGGGAGGGGGGAGGTAAGGACTGGGAGTTTGGAACTAGCAGAGGTAAACTATTACATATAGGATGGATGGACAACAAGGTCCTATTGTATAGCACAGGGGACTGTGTACAGTATCTTGTGATAAACCATAATGGAAAAGAATATAAGAAAGGATATTTACGTAACTGAATCATTTCATTGTACAGCAGAAACACAACACTGTAAATAACTATAAACTTCAATTTAAAAAATTTCTTTAAAGGAATGTAGGAACTTTCCTGGTGGTCCAGTGGTTAAGACTCTGTACGCCCAATGCAAGGGGCACAGGTTAGATCTCTGGTCGAGAAACTAAGATCCCAAATGCCATGTGGTGCGGCCAAAATAAAAAGGAACACAGCCTGACTGACACCTTGATTTTATCCAGTAAGATCTGCGTTGGACCTCTGACCTCCAGAACTGGAAGATAATGGCTACTTTTAGCTATTATATATATGCATGACTTCCCTGGTGGCCAGGTGGTTAAGACGCCAAGCTCCTAATGCAGTGGACCAGAATTCATTCCATCTCTGGTCAGGGAACTAGATTCCACATGTCACAACTAAGATGGAACATCCCAAGTGCCACACACAGTTAAGGCCTGGTGCAGCCAAATAAATAATAAATAAATAAAATTTAAGTGGGCATCTTTTGGTTCTAGTCCAGCCCCTAAAACCAACATAACAAGGTCTCTGGTGACTCAGGATGTGGAGAGATAGACCCAGAGTATAATGTGCTGGCAGAAAGATGACAGGGAACACTCAACTTTAAAAGACAAACATAAAAAAGAAAAGAAAAGAAAAACGTAAAAACCCTTGACAAATCTGCACAGGATTTTAGGAAAAGGGAATATGAAAATAGTACAATGTATTCAACTTGCTTTTTTCTAAAGCATAAGCTCCCATGATTTTGGCCAGAATTGCTAGAAATATAGATGCATAAGAGAGTAAATAACATTGCCCTCCAAAGGCAAGCATGCTCTTCTGATACAGTTTGTGCTTGAGACTGAAGGTTGGTTTTGTTGTTTAGTTGATAAGTCATGGCCAACTCTTGTCACCCCATGGACTGTATTGCTTGCTTGCTTGCTTGCTACGTCGCTTTAGTCATGTCCGGCTCTGGGCGACACTATGGACTGTAGCCCACCAGGCTCCCCTGTCCATGGGATTCTCTAGGCAAGAATACTGGAGTGGGTTGCCATGCCCTTCTCCAGAGGATCTCCCCAACCCAGGGACTGAACTGGCCGGGTGTCTCTTATGTCTCTTGCATTGGCAGGCGGGTTTATTACCACCAGCGCCACCTGGGAAGCCCCATGGACTGCACAGCCTAGGCTGATTCAGCTCTATGGAGCATGCAGAATCCACACCCGCCACCAGAGGGCAGGAGTCCCTGAGACACACAAACCAGGCAGGCACTGCTTCGGGGGTCAGTGCCCACTCTTCGAGGCATCCTTTTGTACCCGCAGGCAGGCTTTAGGCTACCTGCAAGCTCTCCGACTACCTGCAGGTGGAGAAACCACCTAGCAGAGG